CTGCTAAATTTTGGTGGATTCCTTATAAAGTCAGTGTCACGTGGGCTTTGATGTCAGCATGCTGGTTCTGATGCTGGCTCCACCAGCAGCTTAGGGTATGATCCTGGGGAAGTTGATGGGTACTCTGGGTCTCTGTTTTCTCATACATTCAATGAGGAAGATTGTAGCAGCTGCTTTATAAGGTGGCTTGACGATAAAATGAGAGAGTATATGCAAGGAATGTAATGCACTTCCTGTCATTTATAGAGCATAGCTGTTACCTGTTAGTCTTTTACTACTGTTATCGTTCTTGATCGAGACAACATAGCATGACAATTTTCAGTTTTTGTTGACTCAAAGACCATTGTAAAGTACTAATATTTTAATGACATGAAAAATTTATGTTATCCTTTAAATTAAAATGAAGACATTCAGAAATATATGTATGTAACATTAATCTAGTTTTGAAATAAGATTTCCAAAGAAACAAAACTATAAATAAGAGTAAATGTTAAAGCAGAATCCAAAATATTTACTGTTCACTAAGTTTAACTCTGATATTTTCTTTCATTCTTCTTTTTTTTTCTTTTCAAGAGACAGAGTCTTGCTTTGTTGCCTATGCTAGAGTGCAGAGCTCACTATAACCTTGAACTCCCGGGCTCACACCATCCTCTAGCCTCAGTCTCCTGTGTAGCTGGGACTATAGCCTGGGACTATAGGCTCATGCTACCATGCCTGGCTAAGTTTTCAAAATTTTTTTGTAGCGATATCTTCTTGTTATGTTGCTCAGGCTGGTCTCAAACTCCTGGCCTCAAGTGATTCTCTTGCCTCAGCCTCCCAAAGCACTGCGATTATAGGCATGACCCACCATGCCTGGCCCTCATTCTTCTATTTTGTCTAATCAAGTATTGCTTTTTATGATCAGGCAAAATTGAATGCTATAAAAATATAATAAGGTTTCATAATAAATAGCATAATGGAAATGAGAGAGATATACAATTGACTGTCACATTAAGTTCTCCCTTCTTTTTTTTTTTTTTTTGGACATTTAGTATGCTAATTATCCCTGTACTGTACGTACACTTTCTATGGCTTTCCTAGATAGACTTTTCTTCACCTGTGGTGATAAAATCAAATGTTGATGTGTGATGGTGATTGTGTATGTGTGTGTAAAATGAGAGAGGGAGAAGGAAAGGGTGTAGAAGAGGAGGAGAGAGAAAAAAAGTAGAAACTGGTATGAGTGAAAAGGCCACACTGAGTGTTATTACTTTAAATATTTACGCTGGAAGACTGAGAGCACGCTGGAATGCCTGATATGTAAGTAAATGCATTGAAGAGTGACAGGAGACATTTGAGAGGATGTATTTCTCTGGTTGTCATAAATTCTAGGGAGTCAGTAAAACTCTGTGAGTAAACTGCTTTCCAGTGAAAAGGTAATAAACTTTTTTTGTGAGTTCATATAATCAGTTACTTGTTTCAAAAGAGTAATGTCACACCTCTATAAAGCACAGTTGATTTTAAAAGGTTATTCTACATGTTTCATTTGGAAAAAAAAGCTTGGAAAAA